TCTGTATCCATTTCAGTTTGTAAATATTCCTAAATGATAATCTGATTTAATATTAAAAGGATTATTAAATTTAATTCTTTATCAATGCCAGCCCTGTTTTGAAAATATCACACACGAGGCATCTGCTCACTATCTTCCCTGTGAGGTTCCCCATGGGACCCTGAGGTGACAAGATCCTCCCTGTATCACTGGGCCCTGCTCAACCCTGAGCTGCATCACTGCAATCCACTTCATTAGCTATGTCTACACCCTGACCCTGAGCTGCATCATTGCAATCCATTTCATTAGCTACATCTACACACCAGCAACAGTCTCTTTAATGGGAAATGATGTGCTTTCCATCCATAGTTTCTCTTAGTCAAAGCTGGAAAAAATGTGCCATAACTGCATGTTTACAATGACTTTTCTTTCTAACAAGATGGGAAGGTTTCCATTTAAAATCAATGTGACACCCCCCCCCCATGCACTGCTGCTTTCTTGGATATGGTCATTTCTAAAAAGAGACTGTTTAACTACTGGTACCCATAGTAGCAGGTAAAATAGCAAGACACCCACTTATAATTGGATTCTGGTGCTTTCCCCTAGGTTGTTGTGTTCCCCAAAGTGCTCCACTAAATTTCATCTTCAGTCATGGCAGATCGGAAAGAGCTCTAGCTAGCCCAAGGCGTCACGGAAAGGCCATTCACCTGCTGGAATCTCTTAGCAAAGCGGATGCAGGGAGGGGCGGAGTCGGTTGGGAAGACTCATCCAGCACAACCAGGCAGGGCCTCAGGGAGGGCACAGGGGAGCTCTTGAAGGTGTGGCATCACCAGAGCCAGCACTCAAAAGGGGGCCCTCCGGACAGATGTGCCCATGGACCTGCTCTACGGACTCCCCATTCTCTGAAAAAAAGTGGTCATCTGTGATCCTTACAAAAGTCGGGATTTTCTCTTAAACAATGTGTTTCTGACCTTTCACTGTTAAAGGGAGCAATACGGTACAGTGTAACCAGGAAAAAGTCATCAGTCCAGCCAAAGAAAGAAGATGTAAAAAGTGTAAGTCATTCGGAGACCCCTCAACGATGACAAATTTGGAAGACGGCGAGTGTGAAACAGGATTGATCTGAAGAAAGAAGCCGGGGAGAAGGGAAGAGGTCAGGTGTGTAAGGAATGCAAACAGCGAGTGGGGCGGGACCAGGAAAACCCACACAGACAGTGGGCAGCGTGCGCCTCGGATGAGCCGTTTCTTACCAGCTTCCAGGGGAATGTGACACGGAGGTCCGGGGCCGACAGAAGCAGAAGCGCTCGGGCGGGCAGAACCGCAGAGGAGGAGCCCGGTGTCTGCTCCCCAGCCCAGTGCCTGGCCCGAAGGTCTGCGATGTCCAAGGGCCCTGAGGAGCAGGCTCTGCCACCGACGCAGAGGCGGCACTCGGTGATTCCTTGTTCCTTTGGCGACCCTTTAGGCACTAGCCACGGCCCCTTACATCCCGAAGGCCTCCCATCTCACCCCTGGTGCCCCGCTTCATAAGCGGGGGTTTCACCTATTTTCTCCTAGGGGCTGACACACATCCCATCACAACAAAACCTCTATGTCACCCGCCACATTGGCGGTGCCGGCAGCAGGTGCATCCTGCCACGTGGACGTAAGCTGTCCCGTGTGAGATTTGCCTCCACTACCTTTCTGGTCCTGGAGGAGCGCCTCGCACGTGCTCTGGTGCTTACCACACTGTAAAGCGCAACCAGATACTTCTGGCCTTCTCCAGCTCCAGCGCCAGGGCCATCCCACTTTTACCCGCCGATGGCATGTTACCTCAACTCCCCAAAATAAGCTCACTGAAAGGGGAAAAAGAGCTCAATGGAGCCACAGTAGGCTTCAGAACGACACGTAAATGTTTCGGTTTTAATAGTCACTGTTCAATCTTTTGAAATAAGGTGCTGTAGTGCATGGTGTCCCCTAGGAAACCCACAGTGGACCCTAAGATTCATCCCAGTTGTTAGTTTACCTTATTGATCACCACTGCCTGAGAGTAAGGAATTCGAATGGCTGATCCCGCTTCCCATCTATTCTAGCAGCTGCTGACCTCTACTTTGACTTCTCTCATGCCGAAAATTTGGATGCACACGACATACCCAGAGATATCCAGACATCTGATCGCCAGCAGAAAGGATGAGGCTTTCCACCCCCAAAATGACATCAAAACCTTTAACTATAGGACCAGTTCTCCAAACAATTGTTTAAACATGGGTAACTTAGCCAGCATAAGAACAGATAGAGAGAGAAAGTCCAGCTGAGGCTACTTCCACAACGTACACAAACGCTAATAGCTTACTCCCCACCCACCAGAATGGCCCCTCCCAGTGCACCTGCACCCAGGATAGAGCTTGAGTTCCCAGATGCACGTGAGCAAGGGCTGGTGAGGGGTGCACTGAGCATGCACTCAGGAACCAGCAGTGAGTAGCGCCCAGCATAGTAGAGAAGCAAATGCCCAGGGCCTGTTAATGTTTCTAAAGATCTTGCCAAATCAAGTAGATGTGCCCACCTCAGAATCCCAGGCGGACAGCCAGAGTTAAAAAGGTGAGTGTAAGTGAACCTGCCCTGGTAAGAAGAGTAAACAAACATCCTAACCAATGCATTACAATATCCGCACCCTATCCTTAGACGTGCTTGTCATGTAGACACAGCCTGCATCAGAGGTTCTCCGTGTGTTAACTTGTCCAGCAGGTTCAAGTTTTCCACTTCTAAAAGGGAAAAATCAAAATACTTTATAGATTAAAATCAGATATAATTGCATTCTGTAATTTTTTTCTTTCCAAAGCAATAGGCAACCATCAGCATTTTAAGCCACCTACTTTTGCTATATATGGCTTTTCTACGTAAACAAGCCATTAACATCCACTAGACAAATAGCCTAATATGCAACAGTTTTTAATGGCCAAGAAGAACAAGATTACCTTACATAGAAAGCCACTTACAAATCTAAAACCTGGGAGAAATCTGCAGTCAGTGTAGATCAAATTTACAAATTTTAGATGACGAATTTCCAGAGGAAGTAGCCACATGGATATATTTACCCAAATTATGACTGTGTAGTCTATATACATGCGTTTAGTAGATCCCTTGAAGCAAGAACATGGTGAAGCCATCCATTATTTTATTTAATGCAATCTGCTTCAACAGGAGCAGTTTGGGGCTCGCAAGTGTCTGGCATCTGTGGGTAGGAAATGGATGCCCAGCCAGGTTCCTCTCTCCTGCTCGGGAGAAACCTGACCTCGGCTTTCAGCTAACATGTAGAAACTATTAACTGCACGGTCTCAGGGTGTCCAAGGTGCTGGGTAAACGCGGTCGTCTGCAAGACCCCAAGTGACTCAAGAGCAGCTTCTAGTGAAATGCATGCAGGTTCTAGCTGCATGAGTGGCTCATGCAGCTCAGCAGCCACGTCCCCACTTCACTGTTACTCAGTACATCTGAGTCGAAGGAGAGATCTCACTATGGTAAACATCACAGTGAGAAACTCAGATGGAAGCAAGAGTCGAGAGAAACACAAGGGGGAGTGACGGAGGAAGAGGTCGAAATGACTATTCTAAAGGGAATAGTTGGGAAATGTGGATATAGAAAAATTGCATTAAAATAAAAAATATGTACCTAAAACACTCAGAGAATGGCCTCTGAGCACGCACATGGTTGGAAAAGCAGAGAGCATCTATTGAACAGATGTCCTGGGAATGCAGGATGAGAAAGTCTTTCCAACCATGTCTCTACACTCATCAGTAGGAGACTGAAGCCAGGGCACCCACATATGCGGCCGCCAGGAATTTGGATATTTAATATTGCAGAGCCAGTCCACAAATGTGAAAGCAAATGTCCAGAAAAATAACAGCCACTTTGGGATACTGAGGCAGCCAAATCTAAGGGGAAAACATCAATTTTCTTTGAAGGTCAATGAAAAACATGGTTCTCAAGCAGCTCAACTTCAAAGGCAAATACAGCACTGTATTTGCCTTTGCTTTGTATTTCTCCTTTACTCTGGCTGCTGCGAGAAAAAGCATGTCCTTGGGAGGTCTTCTTTATTTAGTGAAGGATGCAAAGGTGCTTCTGGATTGTTGGCATCGATAATATATTAGAAAACAACCCCCTAGGAAGCAGATGCTCCAACACTTGTCTGGGCGATGAAGTCTGTTACTGTCCCTCAGAACTCCTCGTGCAGACAGCTTCACAGGGTCTGATCTTTGCAGGATGTAAGTGACCCTCCACATCGAAACTGGTTATACAAGGGACCACCTGCACTCTGAATATGAGGAATGATGTTGGGCAGGAGAAACACTGGCTCTACATACGAAATGAAGTGATTTGCATCTACAGTCAGCACATTTGAGTTTTTGCAGGTACCAGCTAGGGACTATGCCACTAGCGTCTGTCGTGCAAAAAACAAATAGGAAAGACCAGAGGAGTCAAAGTGGGTAAGTACGTCCATCGTGTTCAAGGACATCTTCCTCATGCTTCTTACAAAATAGCAGCATTAGGTACTGTATTTTTTTTTAAATACTTCCCTGTATGTGTAGAGGAATCAGCAGGGGAGAACATGAACAGCTGTGGTGCAGGAGGCCTTTGCCAACCGTCCAAAGGCAGCCAGGGCACTTCTCTGTGTGAGTTGACACACAACTTGTGGCATTTGCAATTGCAACTTCAAATTCCACAAAGCACATGAGGTATCATCATCAAGACGCAATGTTTCTGCTGCTCTACTTGAATAAAGTGCAAAAAATTTTCCATGCAAAGGACTTATACTATTCTTCAAAATACTCACATATGCATACACACAAGTTGTTTCCCTAGGCACCCAACATGAGAGCTCATGATTTCCCATCCTTTCAAAGACTTTTCTCCTCTTCTGGCGGCAGAATCAGTTAGACCATTGCAAATGTAAATATTGTTTGTGGGAAGTACGTAATTAGTGACAATAAATTCATAACATGCAAAGACTTATATCAAGTTTGTTTTTATCTAAAATTTGCTATTTCATATGGAATTTTGATTTGACACAGGTGTACATTATGCTAATCCTGTTTTTAAAAAGTCTTGTTTTTGTATTCTAAAATATATCAAAGTCCTGTAGTCTGAAAACTACTGTCCTAAGATAATTTAATCTTTTCATCCCTTTTTTTTTCATTGTAAACATGAATAAATATGAAATTGTTGTGAAACCCACATCTGAAATTCAGCTTGTGATCATTTTAACCTCAAAGTGACATTTCCAGAGGAAGTAATATTTTGGGTAAATGTGCATTTAACATTACTACAAACTTAATGAAAAAAGCATTTGTTTGTACAACATATATCCCTGGGTATACCTGTTCAGAAGATTCCTTTTCTTCAAACGTTTTCTGAATCAGACGTTGAGTATGGTTTCTGCACGTGACACACCCATTGCCACACATGGCTCACTGAATTCTGACTTCTCTCTGGCCCCATAGAAATCGTTATTTACACAGTGTCCTCACTGATTTATTTTTTAACTATCTTTTGGCTCAGTTCCATTCGAGGCACAGCTAATACCCCAGGCAAGTAGATTTGTAAAATTGTAATGACCAGTTTCCTTCTCGAATCTCACTTGAAGCTTCTACTATCAGAATAGTTGTATTTGGCATTTTTTTCCCTGATTTTTTTTTCCGGTTAATTCTACAAAGCCTACGTCACAGGATAGTTGTAAGGACGGCACCCACGGCTGCCACGCCGAGTCACTGCTACACAGCTGCTGATGTCTGAAGATACTTAAGGGACCTCAAGACCACAGGCGGGAGCAGCTCATCCCCAGAAACCCTGCTCCCTATTTACAGTTGGCAGCAAATGCAGCCTGTGCAAATAAGCTTGGCAAGTCTTACTTCCACTTAATAGATGTGTCTCTCTACAAACAGCCACAAAAATTAAATTCAGGTAAAACTTTCATCACGTGTCCGTGATCACATTCTAAAACACACACCTTACAATATCACCTCTTTTCTTAAAATTGAAGAATCAACATGTAGCTGTATTTTCTAAATAAAGTTGCTTCAAAATGTAGATTGCCAATATTCCCAACAATATATAGGTCCTTAGTCCTCATTCTGTGAAGAACTGATCATATCTAGGGAACTCTACTAAACTTTCATTTCTGTAGAAGTATGAAACTACATAGCATCTCCTTTTGTTTTCGAAATAAAATTTAGAAATAATCTTTACTAGACCTAGAGATTTCCCAAACAGATCAAAGCACTTTTTTAAAAACCAAGTGTAATTTAATGGGAATGACATGAATGGTGGTGAGCATAAGAAGTTGCAGCCTTGCTCAAGCCCTCCCCTACAGCTTTGTGTCTGGTGCACACATATTGAAACTCCCCAAGAGCGCTATTGCTTTTCTCACACGTGAGTGCAGTTGGTGGATGGCGGGGTGTCTACTCGACTTCTGTTCTCTTTAGTATCATTAAGAGGCGATTCACTGTGAGTGCGGCACTTGAACACTTGCTTATAAGCCTTCCTAAAATTCTCGGAGAGAAAAGCATATATGATGGGATTCACCGAGGAATTACTGTACGCCAGGCAGTGGGCAGCGATTCTGAAGAGGAAGGAGGCGGGGGTCAGCGGAAAAACCCCAAACTCAGCCCAGAGATTGATGACGTGGTGCGGCAGCCAGGATATCCCAAAAACCACAACCACCACCAGAACTGTCTGTGCAGTCTAGGAGAGAAAGAGGAAAACACACATATCAATTATCACAGGAAAAGCATCCAGAGCCTTAAAACATGCTCTAAGCTCATTTTATGCCTATTGCCATGAAATAAGACTATCAAACTTTGCTTAAAGTGTTAACCGGGACTTCATATACATGGTTTTGTTCAACACTTGCTCGGGACCTGCGCTGGAATAAGTCCACCACGTATGTGAGATGCCTGAGGATCACGGGAAGCAAACACTGGATCATGGGAATAGAAATGCACAGAGACGAAACACTATTTAATCTTTAAATTCCAAAACCTACAAAGCTCTGAGCAGGGTGCATGCTGAAACAGTTTCAGGTGAGAGGCAGCTCAGTGAGCACTCACACCCTCTACCCACGGTGGCCCCGACAGATGGTGTATTTTTTTTATTTCTCCTTGTTAAGCTCTGGCAAGTGGAAGACCTCAGCACATTGACACATTCCCATGAGACACCTCCATTTCTGTCTGGGAGCCAGTCAGCTCCATTTCCTGGCTTGCACATGACCCTTCCCTTGCCACCCCTAAATCAGAAAACACCTAGAGGCAGAGGCAGAGGCAGAGGCAGGACTCGCATGTTTCCTTTGAGCTTTGGGCCTTTACAAGCAGGGGATGTAAGAAAGCAGAAGCTGATTAAGGACCTCTGGACCTCAACCCAAGAGGAGCCTTCCCTCTGGCTTCCAGTCAGTGCCTGTTACCTCCTCGGTGGGTGGGATTGAGCCTGAGGACCACCTTTTCCATGTTTCATGGCAGCTGGTTGGTACATATTTGAAAGGCGATGACTAGATACTAATGCTGTGATCAGTTGGAAACTCTAGATCTGTGGCTTCAAACAAAAGACGGTGACCTCTTCATATTTTTTAAACTGCCATACAACATGATCAGCTGGCTCCTTCCTTAAGAGGTTGCCCAGCCTGCCAACATGTGGTGGCTCAAGAAGCAAGTAGGGTCCTGACCCCCCGATGGCCACAGCGGCACCAGGGTGGTGGTGGGGGACTGGGCATCTCACTGTGTGACTGCTGGCCATGCGCAGGAAGCAGACCTGGTCAGGATCATGGGTCCAAGATGAGAAAGCTGATGTTTGGACTGGTCGAGACAGGTGCCTGATGCTCCAGAGGCAAATGCCACGTTAGAGCCAGAAGCCAGGTCATGTGACCCCCATGACTAAGTAGACTTTAGTAGACTAAAGCCCATCTACTGCTTTGCTTCACTGCCTGGGCTGCTGGCAGGTAAAGCAGAGCATCAGGGCACCTAGGTGGGCAACCAAAGTTGCCTGGCCCGCAGACGGAACAACGGTCCCAGCCCCCTGTACACCGCTGTCCGGCTCCCAGTTCACCACCAGTAGGCCCACTCTTCACAGAGCAAGGGGATCTATAGGACAGGAGCGATGCAGGCTGGAAGCCCCTTGGTGTCCTCTCTCAGACTAAGCCTAGGTTGCTTGAATCTGTGCAGTGGAAACATGGAAGTCTGATGTCCCGGTCACCAGCACCCGACCCACACGGGAAAGGGTAAGGCCACACCTTTCCTGGTCCCCGCCAGGGCTTTCCCTTCCACCAAAGAGCAATTCCTGACCAGAATTGATGGATAAGGGGGGAGAAGGGTTGGCAGGATGGACGCAGACAGAAGGAAGAGGGTTTAATTAAGAGCATCCCTTTAATTAAGGGATGCTCACTCTCATGTCCTTGCATCCTGAGCGAGGGCAGGATGCAGTATGTAGGTCCACGGTGAGGACACCTCTGTCATGCCAGGCAGTGAACCACACACCGCACACATCTCTCCAAGACATGGGCTAGAAGCCAGGCATTCTGTAACCAGGTGGGGGCAGAAAGGCTGGAGGGAGTGGGATTCCAGGGCAAGGCCAGAGCAACCCCATCGGGAGCGGCAGGGGTGACAGGACAGCTCACCATCACAAGGCGCCCAGGACTGTGCAAATGCCAGCTATAACCTGGCTGTGCAGCCTTAGGAAGAGGAGGTAACCTCCCTGGGCCTTGGCGAAACGACTCTGACCATGCCTCATGCATTCAGACGCTCACAGCTCAGGTAAAATCTGACAACAGGTTTTTTATAGGGTGGCAGGATTACATATTAAAGCCAATTACTCCATGATACACAAAGCAAACATGAAATTTGCTCACATGTATTAGCAGATTGTCTGCTATCAATCCACTATCCATTAGTGGACGAGAGATTCCCTTCCCAGATGATTTCATCAAAAACAATCTAGACATAATTATACCTACAAATAGAACAGAGCACATCGTCTTTTCCTTCTAAGACAATGAGGACATGTTTCTGCTTCCCCAAATGAATACCCTCTGGAGATCCCGTTTCAAGCATCTCTCAGGAAGTTTCTACTAAGTGCCAAGCCTAGGACAGAAATAGGCCCCAGCAGCTTATTGATATGGTCATAATGTATCAAAATCTGTGGGGCACAGGTAAATTGCATGAGTGTGGGATATTTTGTGTATGTGTGCGTTGCAATGCATTCAAAATTTACCTTTTTATTTTTAGTGATGGCCTGGGTCTTCTCAGAACCCGGAACAAGACTTTGTTCTGGGTCTATCCATGGTGTTGAATGCGACAGGGCTGCATTTATAATAGACAATAGTCTCTGATACGCAGTCAGCCTCTGCGGCGTCCAGGTGCGTGGCTGGAGACATCAGGTGTCTGTCGTCTTCTGTCCCCCTGGCGCAGACTCCTGCAGGTCCCCGGCACAGCCACGCTCAGGAAGGGAGGCCGCACGGGCAGAGGGCATCCTCTGTCACCACCCGCGGCTTCCAGCTCTGCCCTCAGGCCGCCGGCACCGATGACACCAGCTCTGACCTACAGAGCTGCTCAGAATAATGCACTGGACCAACCCCAGACCTGGGCCGTCATCTCCGGGCGCCCGTCATCACCCAGGATGCCGCCTGTGAAAACACAGAGCTCTGGGCCTCCCCTCGCTGCCACGGCTTGGTGCAGTCGGTAAGGATGTTAGGTACTTGCCTTTCTGAAAAGCTTGGTGGTGTTCGAAGAACCTCTGGGGAATTACATAAAAGCTGCCATGAAAGCCCTTATCCACCTCGAATGAAAGGCGATGCTGTCGCCAGCTTGACAGCCATGGACGCCAAACCATGTCTTTGCCTCGGAGAGACTGTGGGGGAAGCTCCTTCCTCTTTTTCTATTCGAAAGGTCACATTGTAATGAGAGGATGCCTCTCTGTGGAGAATGAGGCTGATTGTTCTTAATTTCTTACACGGTTTTTTTTTTTTTTCATTCCATCACTGACATCATCAGAGAGGAAGTCATACCCAGGGTATGTGTGATGTCCCTTGTTTGTACAGCAGATCGAATCCCAACACTGATCTTTGATACAGAAAGAAAGCATCCTTTAAAGTCATGTATAAAAATCTCTAACTCATTATCCTTGAGATTGAGTCCTTTATAACCTTGTTGGGTATTCCTTTTTTTCTCTTTATACTGATAGTATCTGAAAAATATTCATCTCTCTTCCTCCTGTGAGATGTTCTCCTTCAAAGTCATCTGAGACATCTGTTCTTCCTTCAAAGAATCCTACTCACAATACATCTAATGGAGCTTAGCCGAGAGAAGAGAATGATGAAAACATTTCCTAAGCTAGTAAATGCCCAACAGGAAGCTTGCAGACTTACTTCAAGCCCAGGGTATGTGTGTAGTGGTGGTGGCGGGGGTGGGGGCAGCTGCTAAAGGAACCCAGGTGACAGGTGTCAAGGGAGCCTCTAATCCGGTTTCCCCGTAGAGATGCCCATCGCAAAGATGTCTGTCCCATTCTGGAGGCTTCCAGAGATGACCACAGAGTCCCGGGCCCGCATCCGATCAGCCTCATGCCAGGAAACATCTCTCGTGTATAGCAGAGTGTCCAATCAACCCCAGCGCTCTGCACTATCATTACTATTATTTCTACATTGGAGATCACGTTCTTCCTTGTTCCTCCAAACACGCAGAATAACTGCTCAGCATGAAGTCCTAACTCTCCACCCCACGAGCATTGTGCACCTGAACACAGAGCCCCTGCATGGATGGAGGCAGTGCAGAGGAAGTGTGCTCTACACCACAGGGAGCTGTGCTGCAAACCTGTGCAGCTGAGATGAGTGAACAAGGGCATCTGTACCAAGCAGAGCCCTGTCCCCCAGGGACTGAGCATTCACATACCACACACTTGTCTGGGCGGAGACCTGCAGGGAAAACCACCAGGAGCCGGTCTGTCTCTGCCACCAGTGAGGTGCGGCCCACCCGGGCTTCTCTACCAGACCAGGCCTCCTCCCCATCCCCGCCCTTTGCCCTCTTCCTACCTGTCCCTGCACCTCCCTGCTGCCTCTTGCTCAGACGTGGGCATGCACATCACCACCAGCACCACACCTTGTTTGTTCTATGCAAACAAGGAGGCAATTAAATGTATCAAAAGAGATCTGACATCTGTTCAGGGCTGTTAAGGGTCAGAAGATTTGCGAATGGAAGAGAAAACCTTCCCACCTCCAAATGCTAAATCCTCTCCTATGATAAGAACTATATTTACACACATGTGCATGTGATACGTTCGCATGTGTGCATACATACACACATATTGCAAGAGTGCATTTATAATATATACGTGTGCATGTACACATACATGTGCTCACACATGTATATATACATATTTCTTCTGTGTACACACATACACTTACACATGTACTCTGTGACACACATAATATATGTGCATATATGATGTATATGTGCACATATACACATATACATGCACACCCGGTAAATGCACACCTGTACACACACATACACACTCACATATAAAACACATATAATATACACACAGATGCATATAGACACGTGTACACACACACCATACACATACATATCTGTAAAACCAAATGCAGAAACTGTTAAACTGATCTGTAGAGATTTTCACCGTAAAGCAGAAGAAGCTTTTCCAATTATTTTTTACAAGATCTATTTTCATTCTTCTCATTGCTTTGTTCTTCACTGCCAACTTCCCCAGCTTCTCCGAAACACTTGTGACCACAGCGCCTGATGGGACCCACAACCCGACTGGTTCCAGCCTGGGTGATAAGCACACAGCGTGGACCGGGTCATCCCCACGGCGGAAGTGGGCAGGCCAGGTCCTCCCACAGGCACACGCTGGCCTCCCCCCGGCAAGCTCCACACGGGAAGAGTCCTCGTCCGTCCCACAGGGTCAGCTCTGGCCCAGAGGGCAAGCGGGTGCTCCACACAGAACTACCCCGGGGAACAACAAACAATCCTTAATTGTTTGTAATGAATCATTTTCTTGGAGACGGTGGCTCAGAGGACAAGCTAAAAGGCAGACTAAAGAAATGGGAAGAGTCCAGCATAACAACATCCCTGAAAACGGAGGAGAGAAAGAGCAGCTTCAGGGATGACTCCACCCATACGCTCTGCCAGCTGTTTAAAGGAATCCAGGAACTTAGAAGGAAGCCCACATAAGGGCTGGGATGGAAGGGCGGACCAATGAATGGAAGAGGCGAGACATGCTTGTTATCTCTGCTGCACCTTTCATCCTTCGGTGGCCACCATAAACACCACATGACCGTATTCGGAACGCAGGTTACACCGCAGGCTTCTTCACCAGTTCCTACCACTTCTTTCCATCCAGTCTGAGAACAGACATGGTTTCAGCTGTGTTATAAGCAAGGAAGGTCAGGAAGGGCTTTATCTAAGTAGAATTTTTTAAAATAAATGTGATCAAACTATAATTTCTGCCAATTATGTGTCCTTGATCGTAATAAATGTATAGAAGGACAAACAAGGTACTTTGGGATGTTATGACTGATATTTGGGGATAACGGTGTCTGGCTATGATCCCCTCCTTAAACATCTTGTCCAATACTCTTAGTCCACTTTCTAAAGTCAGAGGTTACACAGATATTGTGTTAAGAGTGAGATTAATTCTGATTTGTGACATAGTCTTGCCTCAGAATGTGAACTATAATAAATACCAGGATGTTAGATACTTTAATACGATTCAGGAGAACTTTGTTTAAATCAGGATTCATTGGATGAGAAAGACAATCAAAAATGAATAGAAGTCCCCTTAAGGCCCCTCCCCTGGAGGACCAGGGTCCACACAGGTCCAGAAGGAAGACAGAAGGACAATGCCTCTGACCTTGGGGCTTAGGGGAGAGATTAAAGTAACATTCTCTGAAAAGACAGTCAAGCCAGAGCCTTCTAGAATCACATCAGTGATGGCAAACATACAATAAAATGGTTGTGTGCAGATCACGGATGTCAGCAACTCTACAATGATCAACCTAGAACACACCTCCTAAAGAGGCTTAGAATCCAAAAAACTACCCCTTCCCTCACCTCTCCAAACCTCCGTCTAAGTTTTAATGCAGCATCTGGTCACCTGGGATGCACTCTGGCACCGACTTTCCATCCCTATCCTGTGCCTCACATTAAGAGGTTTGTCTCAAATGTCTGTACCAAGGAACCTAAATTTCATGACAGTGAATGGACAGAAGGACAATCAGGATTAAAAATCAACTAAGCAATCTATGTGACACATAAATATATATTTGTGAATATTACCTTTTTCTTTGATGCTTCGGACTTCTTCGACATGTTCTTCAACTTTTTATGCAAATGGTTAAGCACCTGGAAAACACAGACTAATAAAAGCATCCACCTGCTGCCCACTGTTCATGGTCTGATTCACGCTGACAATCCCCGACCTGACATAGGGATCATATGACTTAAAATACCATTCAAATAGAAATGCACATAAGAAGCCAAAGTAACGATGCACATGGACTGCCAACTGCATCTGTTTCTCTACCTTTTGGGACTATCCAGAGGCAGTTTGTGGTCACAGAATCTGTCTGAAGAGAGTTCTGGGGGGGTGGGGGTGGCTCTGAGGTTTTTTCCAGAAAGGACCACACTGCTACCCACATATGCATTCTTACTGGCTTACAGTCCACCTCGGTTTCCCCAAGATTCCACATTTTAACAATCAGCAGGTCTTTTCTGTACGGCAGGCGCAAGGCTACATCCTAGGCGTGTGGAACAACTAAAGGTGTCCCTCCAGGGCACCACCCAATGGAGGAAGCAAGCAAGGGAGCCAATCCAGATTATGTGCGCAGACCGATGTTCAGTGCTGCCAATGTTTGCCTCCTCTCATTCCTTCAGTTTTCTGTTGTGGGGTCCTTACAGCAAATACTCACCCGCCTGGTTTCCCTTAGCTCTTTATTCTAATCCTGCCCACTGTGCTGTGCTTTTAGACAACTCACATGTGGGAGATTCAGCTTCTTGGGGGATTTAGAGACCGTTTTGTGAGGTTTTACAATGAACATTCCTGTCAGAGGATCTCCTGATAGACACTGGCTTCATTCATTAGAGAAACTATTTTTGCCTCCTCTTGCCAGTGTAATACTCAGGAGAAATGACATGAAACATTTGGGTTACATGTAGGGATTTACAACAGAGTCTTGGTCTTGCCAACAGGGCCAAGCTTGCAGACCCATGCTGGAGTTCATTTTTATAGACCATCTGAGTGAACATCTAAGGAAAAATTAGCCTCTGGATGACTAAGGGCTTTGGGTTGTCCGTAGTTTGCCAAATGAGGCTCTGAGAGAACTAGAAACCACGTTCCAGACACTGTCTTGTTTCCCTCCGGCACTTCAGCGTGGGAATAATGCAATCAGTTTGGACTTACTGCAAAAGTCTGCAGCCCTCAGCTAGATGCAGGATTTCTGCAATGATCAGTTATACCCTAATTAAGAAACTACAGGATTTATTTACCAACTCCATGAACTCTAAGTGAGTTAAGCAGACATCACGGGGGTGTGAATTCCTGACTCCAGATTCTCGGCCAACTAAACTGCTTCTCACTTCCTACAGTGGCTCAGCATCATCTCCAACAAGACAAGTCTGTCACTTGGTATAGTAACATTTGGGATCGCTTTCAATAGATTGACAGTGGATTAGTTAACTGTTCTGCCAACAGAAATTGGGGGATATAGAGACCATTTTGCAAGGTTTTATAATGAACATTCCTGTCAGAGGATCTCCTGAGAGATGCTGGCTTCATTCATTAGAGAAACTATTTTTGCCTTCTCTTGCCAGTGTAATACTCAGGAGAAATGACATGAAACATTTGGGTTATATGTAGGGATTTACAACTGAACTGAAGGTAAGAGAAAAACAGAGGAGCTTTTGCCGGATCTCGGATCTCGTCTGGAGAGGACGGGCCTAGTGAGTTTCCCTGCTGGCAGCCTGCCCACAAGAGACCACAGGAGGACACTGGTCATTGAGGACAAAGGACAGGAAGAGAGATCAGAGGACAGGCAACAAAACAAATTCAGAAAGGGCCAATTAGGGAGGAGGCCAAACAGAAAAGTCAAATGTTATCTGCTTCATAACACTGCCCGAGATCTATTCATCCCTTCAGCAAACTCAGTTGCATCACAACTCAGTGACCTGAGGCCACCTGTGGAATGTTGTTGAGTGGTCAACAGAAAAATATTCAATATAGTTTTCTTCACTGTGTTTTCCTTCAACAGCCCATACTATGAGCACACACTGATGTGTTACAATGCATATATTGATGTGTATTCAATGAGGTCTTGTCATCAAAGGTATCATGATGGGTTATAACTACATTCCTTTAAAGGATGATGATGGCATGATGGTATCACTCCCAGGTTCTATGCACTTAGGAGTGTGTGTAGGAGGCATACTTTCAAACCCAAGCCAAGGTCATCTTGGGTATCAGATGTGGGAGAACTTGGCATGTGGGCATGTGAGGAGTTTACACTCAGATCAGATGGTGGAGGGTCCCAAACAAGAATTCCCTCCAAGAAAGGAGAGGAGAGCCCCATGCAAGTACACACCAGCCCCGGCATTCTCCGTGTTTCTCAGGGACTGGCAGACACAAACTGTTGTACACAAAGTCGTAAGGTTTGGGGAATAGATGGTAACACTTGAATGCAATTCCTTTCTTGGGGAAAAAAAGGGGAAAAATGTAATTTCAGGTGACTTTGGGGCTATTTGTGATTTTTCATTGTGGCCATCAGTCTTGGGCGTTGGAGAAACGGTCAGTTCTGAACCTCACATTCAAGAAGAAGAATCATTACCTCAACAACGTTCTTTAATGATGGAGCCAAAGAAAAGCAGCTAGAAAAAAACACCTAAGCTCTTATCCAAGTCCTGTAGTGAATCTGCCAATATGAGCTTGGATTTAAAAGAAATTTCCAGTTATGCTTAAAAACAAGCTATTTCCATATAAAAAGTATCCTGATGTTCATGTGTTTGTTGAATTTTTTAGAATTATGATGAAACTTTGCCCTATGTGTGATTTTCATAAATTCTCAAATGATAGAAATTTTTAGGCTAATTTTTCTTAAAAAGTTTGCCTTGTCATTTCTATCGAGAAGACTCATAGAGTTCTGGGAGGTGAAAGCAGAGCATGCTTCAGCTCTACTTCGGGTGATTGTGAGTCACACCAAATCTCCTAAGAACACTTCTAGTCCTGAGCTTCATGCCTCTAAGGCCCTTCCCGGTGACTGGAAACTGCCCTAAGACCCTTTCTGAACCATTTACCAGTGTCATCATCTGGGCCCTTGCTTTACACCCCCCAAGCCCTTCCCTGATGCTCGCACTCACAGGCTTGCTCCAGTGAGACAGCTGCTTACGGGATCACTGATTACCACAGTGGTAGAACCACATTATTTTTTATTTTTATTTTTATTTTTATTTTTTTGCATTTGAAGAAGGTTAAGTGAATAAACCAGCAGTTCATCAAACAGCTAGCTTCCAAATGCCCTCTCCTGCCCCATCTCCTCTGTATTTCCTTATATATAACCCTTCGATGCAGGCCACCCTTGCAGATAATATCCAATACTATCACCATTCAAACAGACATAACTCTACACAGATGACATGGGGCAGGGTACAAAGAAACCAGGGGGCTTGTGGTAAACACTTTTGCTGGGGAAACCACTTTATGAATTGAATGTGGGTAATTATTGCTCTCTGTGATCTGGTTACCTGTGGCTCTATAGTCATGGCCTCATCAGGAACAGAATGAGAGTCAGAGAAAGATGAAAATAAAATGCTGGGAACTTCAAACTTTGGCTACAGAGATGTTCTCCTTATGGCGATGACATTCTGAGAGTGTGTGCTGGGGACCTGGGGTTCACATGATAGAGCATTGTTCTTACTCAAACACAAACAAGTTGTGTCTCCAAAAAGTTGAAGACTGATCAGGATGCCTTCTGCAAAACCCTGTGTTATTAATGAGAGACGCTGTGAGTGTGCTGAGCTCTGCAGAGCTTTGGGAAGGGAGGGTAGGAGCAATTTTCTGGGTAAGGAGGGAGGGGGTAGCTGGGCCAGACTGTCAATGATGCCCGTCTCCAGGAGAGTCAGGGATTTGGGCCTGAATCACTTTATATTGTCTACACAACCCTTCTTAACAGAATTGAAACCCATGCATCCAAAGTCCTCTGGAGCCTCAGGTCAAGATTCTGTGAAGAAATATTCTTTTAGCACTTGGGTTTATAAAGCTAAAGCTTGGGGTAAAATCCAGTTCAAAGTTGTTGCTGTCACCAGGAGCAGGGGCTTCACAGAGGAGCAGGGGCCCTGGGGGACCACCGGGGAGGGGAGCATGAGAGAGGGGCGTGGCCTGCTCAGGCTGACTGAGCTCCCCCTGGGGCTCTGCAGGTGGCCCGCAGATCCCCAGGCTATGCCGGGTGTGAGTGCCCCAAACCCAGCACCACCCCTCCTCTGAGAGGGGGTTCTCTAGCGTTTGGAGGCCTCAGGACAAAGCCAGGGAGGCCGCGGGGAGGCGGGACCTCCTGGAAGTGACCTGCAAACTTTCCCAGTCGCTCCCAGCCTCCAAGTCACTTTCTGGCGCACCGTCTCCCACACCATCCACCCCGCTCGCAAAGGCAGCAGGGCTCCTAAAGGGGCCAGAGGGGTGGCGACCCTGGAACCACAGGAGCCTGAGCCCGAACCCCTGCCCGCGCCCCTGCCCGAGCCCTGCAGGCACCCACCTTGGCATAGCAGAAGCATATGAGCAGAAGCGGCAACAGGTAGCCGAAGACAAAGGTGCACACCACGTAGGCCTTCTTGTGTCCCTGGTTGGGCCACTCTTCCCAGCAGAAGGTCTGGTTTCGGACTTCCCAGTGGAAGAGGCGGCGGTGGTAGGCCACCGGGGAGGCCATGGCGATGGACAGCGCCCAGATGAAGCCCACGCCCAGTAGCGCGTTGCGGGACACCCGCAGGGAGGAGGAGCGCCGGGAGTGCACGATGGCCACGTAGCGGTCCACCGACATCGCGGCCAGGGTGAAGATGCTGACCAGCATGGAGACAGTGAAGAAGTAGTGGATGAACCTGCAGATGAAGGCGCCCAGCACCCAGGTGGGCAGCGCGTACACCGTGGCCTGGAAGGGGATGCAGAAGAGCAGGTAGGCCAGGTCGGCGATGCTCAGGTTGAGGATGAACAGGTTGGTGGTGCTGCGCGGCTTGCCCGGCTTGCTGCGCGCCAGCACCGTGATCACCAGACTGTTGCCCAGCACCCCGAACGCGAAGATCAGGCCAAACAGCACCAGAGTGATGAAGTTCTCGACGCCGATGCCTATGCCGAAGAGCGGCCTGGGCTCCGGGGCTGGGGGCTCGGGCCCGCTCGCATTCCCCTCGCTGAGGTTGCCGGCGGCCAGCTCCATGCCCCAAACGGCCCGGGCGCGCTGGCGACGGTGCCCGCCGTGGAAGAAGGCTCCGAGGACGCGGGGTCCTGGCCCCTGCACGGAGAGCGCGAGTCTCTGATCCTAAGGCTCCGCGATGGGCACTCACCCTGCACCCTGCACCTTGCACCCTGCACCCTGCGGCTGAGCCTACCCGCACCAGGTTTGTGCCAGGCCGCCCGCGAGGAGCCGCGATCTGGACCTTCCGTTCCGCGGCGAGGGTGGGTCCCGAGAGCGCGGAGTTCCCTCTGCCCTCCGCGCGGCCGCCGAGAGGCAGAGACACCCCCCCCCCCCGCCCCCGGCGCCTTACCGGTTCGGGTCCCTGCCGGCCGTCCCCTGGTTCCGGGAGTGGCTTCGGGCGGCACCTGTTGCTCTGAGCCTCCCCCTTCCCGCGCCGCTCCCGGGGCACAGGCGGGGCGCTGCACCGCGCGGCGCAGTTCGTGGAGAGGGCTGCCCGGGGCGCCTGGGCCCCCTCCCCAGTTTTTGTAGGGATTCCGAGTGGTCGACAGCGCGAGCGCCTTCCCGGCGCTTTCCCGAGGGCTGAGGGCCGGCAGAGGGGGGGCTCGGGGCCTCTCCGTAGCAACTGAGACGTCGAAGACACAGCCCGCTGAAATCCGCGCCCCTCGGGGCCTCCCGCGTCCCCCCGGAAGTCGCAGCGCGCGCAGAGGGTGTCCGCGTCCTAAAGGGCTGAGTCGCCGCCCACCTCCTCGCTGGCATCAGACGCGCGCGCGCTCCGCAAGGTGCGGACCTGCCGCGCGGGCCAGAGAAGGCGGCCGCGGCCGGGCGGCGCAGCGGGGCCCGCGGCGGGGGGAGCGGAGCGCGCTCCGGCGCGCGCGGGGCGGGGAGGCCAGGTGCGCAGCCTCCCCATCCGCCCGCGGGCGCCGCGCGCCTTCCTCCCTCGGGGGTGGCGGTCCCGTCCCGAGAGCGCCCCGCGCCCGGGAATACAGCCCCGGAAATCAGTGACTGGCCCTGCAACCTGGAGTCTTGTGAAATTGCTGACCCCAACGCCACCCTTCCACCGCTAGAGAGGAAATCAGCAGGAAAAAACACCCATGAATGGCCTGTTTGAGGTTTCATTATAAACATACAATATTAAGGATGTGTTCACATCATCCCACTTTCGATCGGTTTTACCTTGTGTTTCTCATCTGAGTGACGTGAGCAGAAGTACTGACAGATTTGTGAGGTGGAAAGAACACGCCTAGTATTTTATCCCTGTTGTAAACCGCGAATACGCCAAGAAACTGAGCTGAGGGAGGAGAGCCGGTAAGCATTATCCTGGTGGATAGTCTTGCCGGGTCCCAACGAGACAGCTGAAGCGGATTCACTTATTTGCAGCGCTGATATGATATTTCTAAATTCACTTTTGAGATCACTGTGTTTTCAGCACTTTCCAAATGATTGAGGGCCCATTATGTGCCAGACACAGGTCACTCGAGGGCGAGTGGGGTGCAGTGCATCTAGTGCATGTGACACAGAGATTATCTAGAGAACAGGACAAGTGCAGGCACAAGGCTGCCTCAGGGAGCATCGGGAGCAGGTAGCTGGCATCCCACTCTCATTCTGCCTCACCTGTTGTCTCTGCCTCATTTCCAGGAAAATGTTGAGACAGTTCCTTGGACCTCCACCCCCATAGCAAGTACTTCACCTATATTCACTGTTTCTTTAATGTTCACACATATTTCCCATAGAACGAAGTTGAGTTTAAGTAACCTGTTTAGCAGAGTACCTTACTAAATCAAGAAGGCTCTAACCTTCCCGGGAAGATGCCTCCAAATCTTGTCCAGCCTCTACTTTTCTCTCCAAGGGATTCTCTGAGCTACATGTTCACAGGATCCTGTGCTGGGTGGCTCTGTTATATTGGGAGTCATTTATAATCAGATTTGGGAAAGAGATGTTTTTAATAATTATGAATTATTTTCAACATGGAACAGATATGATGAAATTATATTGAATACCTATGTGCCCCCATCTAGCTTAGAGTTAAAAAAACTATCAATAGAGTTAGCATATGCATATGTTCTTAAATACTTACATACTTTACAAATCACAGTCTCCACCCACCTGTCTCCAGATAACCTAAATTTCTTGTCTGTTAGCCATGTCTTTATATATTTATGGCATATGCAAATGTTCTTAAATAATATACTATGAATATTGAGGTTATTTTAATGTTGTATGGTTGGTATGATAATACTTATTTTTCCCTGAAGATGTAAATTGTCTTGTATTGCTCTAGGTATGCCAACAGTCTTTGCTATTTATTGGTCTGCTGTATTTTTTTTGCAATCTTCTCATATCCTGTGATTTAGGGGGTATCTCTTAGAAACAGCATGAAACTGGATTACTTTAAACTCCAATTTGGCAATCTCTATTTTTTAACTAGTGAGTTTAGTCTGTTTACATTTATTGCTATTACAGATCTATGTGAACTTATTTGTAATATTTTGTTTTATACTTTCCGTTTGTTTCTGTTTCCACGCTTCTGCTTCTCCCCCATATTTTGACATCCTTTGGATTACATTTTAACCTAGTATTTTCACATCTTAAAAAGGGGGGAAGGATCATAATCCATTTTTATTCTTTTAATGGTTACCCTTGAGTGCCTGCTACACGCCAGGAGCTGTTTTATGTTCTGGAGATAGAGCAATGAACAAAGCCAAGCCCCTTCTTTCATGGATTTTTATGTTTTATTATGGACATAAGGCATTAAAAAAGGAAACATAGCCATAATATACCCTATGGTAAGTACTGTGAAGGAGAAGAAAACAGGATAAGGGAAAGAGAACAATTGGAAGGTGAAATCATAGAGAATAATCAGGAGATGGTCCTCGAAAAGATGATGTTTCAGCAGGAACCAGGAGGAAATGAAGCCAACAGCCTTTTGTCTCAGGGAGTGCAGGATGCTATAACAAAATGCTATAGAACAGGGAACTTAAAACGACAGACATCTATTCCTTAGCTGTGGAAGCTGCAACCTGAGAGCAAGTCACCTGCAGATTTGGTGTCTGGTGAGGACCTGTTTTCTGGTTCATAACCAGCACCCTCTCACTGTGTCCTCAGGGCAGAAGGGGTGAGGGTGCTCTGTGGGGCCTCTTATAAGGGCACTGATCCCATTCATGGGCTTCACCCTCATGATCTGATCACCTCCCAAAGGGCCCACCCCTAACACCATCCCATTGGGGGGTTATTTCAAGATTGTGAGTTGGGGGGGGGGGGACACCAACATTCAGTCCATAGCACCTTTTGAATACTGAGTATAAAGCATTCTAGTGAAAAAGATCAGGCTTCTGACAGCAACACATTTGTCATGTTAGAGGAGCAAGAAGACCCACATTGCTAGAGTGTCAATAGCTGGGGAGGTATCTGAGCTGTAAGTTCAGAAGAGATGGGATGGGGTGTGTGGGCTGGGTGATGCTGGGCCTGGGAGGGTAAGGACAGGACTCTGGTTTTATCTGAGTCAGAGAGAAACCACTAGCGCATTTCGACATGTGTTTCAAAACGATCACTCTGTCGTTTAGAACTGGCCATATGAAGAGCAAAGAAAAGAGATGGAAGACCAGCAAGAAAGCTTGCAGGAGTCTAGATGGCAGAGTGTACTAGGGTAGCATGAAGACAGGAGAGAAAGAGAGAGATGGCTCCCAGGGTTTTAGCCAGATGGCCTGTGTGGGGGCCACCATTTACAAAGAGTGGGCACAGTGGGTTTGGGGTGGGGGGAACTCTTTTTAAATTTTAGGTACTTATTAGACATAGGATTAGTTAGTCTTGAGTTAATGGGAAGCGTGAGGCCTGGCTCATGGGTTTAGAAATTACTAAAATATTAATATTTAACAGAATTTAAAATTAACTGCTCTTATTACCCTCCTCCCAAGCAATACAAAGTCTTGGAACATGTTTGTAACTCTGGCCACCCTTTCTCGCTCTGCCTGGTTTTCCCGTCCAGTTTGTCACCTGACCTCCCCCTCATTGGGCATGATGACCATTGCTGTACTGCACAGTGATGTTCATCTCCTTCACCCCCGTGTGCATCTGAAGCCACTTGAGGATCATTTTCCTCTTACTTGAAGAATATGTTTCAAGTCTCCTTGAGCAAGGGCCACTGGTAAGACACGCTCATCATTCCTAACACTGTGTTTCCTTGGCCCCATCACTGAGTGGCAGTTGGCCAGTGGGCAGCCCTCTTGTCTCAGCACATTGAGGGTTTTGTTTCCACCTTCTCGTGGCTTTTGTTTTTCCTCTTGAGAATTCAGCTACCATGGTCTTTGTCATTCTTCTGTGGACAATTTCACTTTTTTTTCTCAATTTGCAATACCTTCTCCTTTTATATTCTTAAATTATTTTGTAATTTCACTTGGTTGTCTCTGATGGTTGTCATTTTTCCTCCTTCTTAGGGCTTGTTGACTTTCTGAGGCTGGGGATGCATATTTTTCATCAGTTTTGGAGAATCTTGGCTATTAGTTTGTAAATAGTGGCTTTTTCCACTCATGGCGTTATGTCCTCCAGGATGCTGAGAGATGTGTGTTAGGCTTTTTCGCTCTCTTCCTCTGTATGTCTTCATTGCTTGGCACACTCCATCTGTGGATGGGACTGGTTTCTCAAGAGTGCTACATCTGCTGCTGCACTACCTTCTCTTGAGTTGTGACAGCTCTTTTTTCTTTCCAAATCTACCAGAACATTTTTTTTTCTTTCTCATTGCTCATGTTTCTAAACAGTTCTCTTGTTTATTCAAATATTTTAAACATGCCGAGGTTATATTCTGAAGAGCCTAGCATCCGAACTCCTGGCAGCCTGAGCATGCTCTTCACTCTCTCCATGGAGCCCCTTTCTTGCTGCCTGCGTCTGTGCCTCATGGTTGCTGCTGGTGCTTGGTTTTGCTCTTTAGACCTCCATGCGACCAGGATATGTCTGTGGGAATTTCATGGCACCTGCATGAAAAGCATATTCTTACAAAAGTATTTCTGTTTGCTTCTGCCATTCATCCCCATGGGTTCCATCAACTCAGAACTTCTTAAGTGAATTTCTCAGCTTGATGGTTCTCGGGACATGTGAATATGATTTCAGACTCTGAAGCTCCTATGAAGGAGGTAATATGGCATAAATTCTCAGAGAAGCCCCTTTCTCTACCTGGTTCGGAAGCAGGTACAGACTTTTCGAGAAGCTGTATTTTGGTAGTTGTTTTAATGCTTCCAGGCATTCGCCACACGCCCTGTTGGAGGATAACATACCTGCCCTTACTGTGCGATAGCTCAGGTTCACTTCAGCAGCAGGAATGAGTTCCACCCAGAGACACCCTGGGATTTCATGACTTTGGCACAGGCGGCCCATCTCAGGGCTGCTTCTTGAGGCTGTCTCCTGGACAAACTCCCCTGGGGCAGGATTTCGGCTGAGCCCAGTCGACAAGTCACATGAGCAAGAAATAAAGCTTTGTGGCTGCGAGGTTCTGCACCTGACCTAGGAAGGGCTGAGAAATGCAGGCCTCGGGCCAGAGGGGTGGTGGAGCTGCTTGGCTCACTGATGGTGTAACTCTGCGAGGACCCTGGTGTTCTACAAGGGTCCCCCTTCTGATTTTCCATGTTGTTTGAATCCAAGACATTATCTTTCTTAATGGAAATTAAATAATAACAGAAAACCTATGAATTTTCACTGAAGAGTCAGCTCTCCG